ATCTCGTTTGATTTTTTTAACAGTTACTTAGATATTTCAATTCACTGTTTTTAAAATTTTCACAAAGAAAAAGTTTTCTTTAGGAAATCTATATTTCAAAATATAATAATATTTAATATAGCTTTTCGCATTTTTTACGTCCTAAAAATTAAATTAATGCCAAGGCATCCTGGTCATGGACGAATTGTGGCTCTCATGGCTCAAATTCCGGCTCGGACGACGTGTGGTCGTGGAAGGTTTAGACACTCGTCTGGCCGAGCTGTCAGTGTTAGAGCTGATGTTGAAGGCGGCACTGCCTCGACTACTATAAGATCGAGCCATCGCCATCAGCTGTCGCCCCGTTGGCTTCTTCCTCACGGGCGACGGCATCCTCGTCTCGCTTTCGTCTTCGACTGTTGCTCCTGTTATCGACCTGTTCCTGGCACTGTTGGCTTTGGAGTGAGTCGAGTCTTCGTCTCCATGTTCGTCTCCTATCGCAATAGCGATGGCGTCCGACAGATCACTGGCACTGCTTCTAGCTGACCCAGATTGACCCATTAGAGCCGTTGCCATCTTGGCAAAGCGCGAGTTCTCGAGACGTAGCACACATTTATTCGGACGTAATTTAAGGATCTGGAAGCGGCCAAACAATTTGTCTTGAATGGTAGCGCCGGACGCCGGCACAACCGGCGCGAGCACGGACAGGAACGATCGCGGCTCTGCTGGCACGAACCGTGCATCGTCGATAGCCGAGCTGCGAAAGTCCCAGCAGACAGGTAATGGCGTCTCGTATCGCAACGTGTTGCCCGGTAGAAAAACCCAGTCTTTTTCTGTTGCAGGACGTAGGACGGGGAGTGCCGGTGGCATCGCGGCGGCTAGCCGGTCGACGCGTTGTATGCCGGCTGGGTCCAGTTCGAACATGGCCAGCAACGCCGTCACTACGCCGACCTCCATTAAGTTGTCCATCTCTTCAAACTTTCTTCGATTTGGGAGATCAGAGCCTTCACTTTCGTGTGCTTGGATCATCGCAAGTCGCTCCTTGATACGATGCTTAACATGAGCCAGAGCTACGGCACATGCCGGCGCCATGTCACTTCCACCACCCGTAGAGAGGCGAATGAGCAATGACACGACGCCACTGATCACCATGGCGTCTAACCCGCGCATACCTTCGCTTTCTGCGCTCTCCACTTCAGTGTCATCCGCACTAACACGACAGGAAGTAAGGTTGTAGAGGGCTAGGATAACGTGTTTACTAGCCTGGATCTGTCGCCGACCGGGGCAGCACGTGGTCACGATGGTGCTAAGCAGCGGTACGAGGCGTACATTACGCATGAGCGCGAGGCAAACAGGCTCCCCTTGAGTTGATAATGCACGGAGAATAATAGCACAGCGCTCTGCCATCTCTTGACGCGCTTCAATGCCGGCATCGTCTCTGAGATCGAGTGCGTACGCCACCACGTCGATAGCTCCATCCGCTATCACAGTCTCTCCAGTCTTCTCACAGCGAGCAAGTTGACTCAAAGCGTAGATAGAAGCACGGAGAGCAGTTGGAGACACAGGAGACGAGTTATCAAAGACGTGAATGATCTCTCGTAGGACTCGGACAGCACCGGTGGCGATGAGCTCGTGCCAATGCAGCGAGTCTTCACACAAGACGGCGATCATCTCAGCGCATACGTCACCTACACGTGCGTTTCGTAGCGATTGAGGTCGACACAGCAGCGTCGGGACCAATCCGTGAGTGAGCAGCGCACGCCGGTGGCGCGCGTGGAAAGTCAAGTTAGCTAGTGTCTGTACACATGCCAACACCATCGCTTCGTCATTTTCGTCTACGCTTGAGCTTGATGCAAGAACACGGACAGTTTGAGACACAGCTCCAGCCTCTTCCATGCGGTCGTGTAGAGCTGGATAGCACGAAATGTTGCACAGCGCATTGAGTGCGTACTCGTGTTGTTGACGCTGCTCCAGCTCCACGTCAGAACTCTCAGATCCTGCGTCGACTGGAGCAAGCAGCAGCTTCTTCGTGAGTACATCCACTAGTCCAAGTGTAGCCATAGCTTCGCAGTTGACTCTGTAAGCCGATAGAAAGCAGAGCGCTGCGGCACAAGCGTGTCGAGTGGGTGGGTCGGCGTGCTCGCATAGTACCAGCAAAGCCACGAGCGCACCGCTCTCAACCAGCCTCGCTGCCATATTCGAGGAACTATTCGACCCTGTGCTGTCATTAACCTTCTTACCGGACGGAGGCTTGGGCTCTGAAGCCAAGTTGGTCAGACACGCAGCTAGTTTGCGATGAATCTCTTGGCTACTGAACTCCATCTCGCAGAGCTTAGTAATCACCTGAGCGACCTTAAGTTCCATCAACGTCTCTGCGAGTGCCGGGTCACAGCTGAGATTATACAGAGCTGTGACGCACAGGGTACGGATCTCTACGCTCTCTAGCCGCGCCAGCTTCACCAGAGCGTACAGCACACCGTCTTTAATATGAGCGGCGCGTAACTCGTCGTGCGTGAGCAAATTGAACAGTGCACGAGCGCAGATCTCCTTGGTGGAGTCGCTGTTGATCCGCAGCAGCGCGTTCACAATGAAGTCAGGCACGGTGCCTTCCTTCCACACGTATCGTACGCCCACCGGCTTAGCAGCTGGCGGCTCTACAGCCAAGCTGCACAAGGCTACAGCTGAGTAGATCTGGATATCCTCCACGCCGCAGCGCATCATTAAAGTCAGTGCCGGATACAACTCGGCACAGCGTGTAAGCAAACCGCGATGTGTCGCGCTAGATGCCAGTTTAGCGAACGCTATCGCACACGTTAGCGTTGTGGGACCATACGAAGACGCCGACAAGTCGATGAGCATATCCAGCACTGGCGTCTTCTCCAGAGCGTCCGCTGCAAGGTTGCAACAGGCTGTAGAACAGCATCGTAGTGTCTCACGGATTATCGCGACGGCGGACGCGCTCACCGGGACGTCCGAAGACGCTGCAGCTGCCGCTGAGGACATCGCGGCACTCATGATACGGCGGATTAAGCGAACGCCGTTGTCCGCCACCATACGTGCGCGTGCTTCAGCATCAAAGGATAAGTTTGCCAGAACTCCAGCACATTGACGCAGCAACTCATCGGCTTTAACTGGCGGTTTGTTGAAGACTCTGGCCAGCGTTGCTACCACGTTCGCACGTAACAAAGCCGCTCTGCTGTCCGACGCGAACGAGAGGTTGAGGAGACAACCTAACGCACACTCCTGGTACCGGAGGAGAACTGTCGGTGGTCCTGCAGTGGCAGGCGTGGACGGCGTGGGTCCGGATGCTCCAGACGCTTCATCGTCCGCTTCTCCCTGTCGCCTACAGAGACGGACGATGGAGCGGATCGTGTCGTCTTGAAGCAGAACACCATGTTGACTCTTTTCGCACGATACGTTGAACAGAGCGTTGGCACACAAGTCTCGAACACGGTCGTGTGGGGTGCGTATCGCCAGTCTAGCAATAGCTGCAGGCATGTTGCTCTGTAGAATCTCCACACACGCCGCTGGATGTGCTAACATGCTACACAGTGTAAGCACAGCGAACTGTTGAGCCAAGGCACTGGCGCCGGCATCCGTATCTTCGTCTTCTTCCACGAAGCGGAGTAACAAGGACACGACGCCAAAGCGCGCCAATAACGCTCGACTGTCGGCTGTAGCGGACATGTTGGACAGACACAGCGCCGTATTCTCACGCACTGAAGTACTGGAATGATGCGCTCCGATCTCGACGAGATTCGCTACCGCGTCACTGAGCGCCAAGTTCTTGAGCGACGGCGGGTATGACGAGATATTGGCGATAGTAACTGCGCACATTTCGCGCACTTCTCGAGGTTTCTCGCATTTGAGAAGCTCTCCTAGACACTCGAGGATACGTCCGTGACTCAAGGGCTCTAAGTTCCCCGAAAGACCCGATAAATTACACAGAGCAGTAGCCAAATACTTGCGTATAGTTCCGACGTCACCTCCGTCTTCCGCCTCGTCAGCTCCGGCAGCGACGCACGCTTGCTGAGCTAACTCACACACTGTATCGAGGATTCCTTCCTCCACTACCTTGGCCCGAGATCCACTCAATAGCGACAGGTTGCAGATGGCTTCTGCTGCGAACTTTGCGCTGGCTTGGTCCTTACGCGTAGCAAGCTTCATGAGCACGTGGACGACGCTCTCGGCCACTGTGGTGCTAGACGACGACGCGATGTTGATGAGTGCTTTGACACAAGCTTCTTTGGTCTCCAAGTCGGGGACGTTGAGCATCGAGACAATAGCAGACACGCAGCCTTCCTGTACAAGACGGAGCTGGCCTGCACGTTCGTAGGAGAAGCGACACAACGCCATACTCGTGTGACGCCGTACTTCTTCGTTTTGCGCTTTGGCTAGCTCCAGAGACGCTAGTAACACACCTTCGTCTGCCATTTTCGTGCCAAGTACGGACTCGCACAAAAGGTTCAAGATCGCAGCCGCGCAGAACCGCTTCACCTCCATATCCTCGAATACCGCCAACTTACTCAGCGCCAGCAT